CACACACACACACACACACACATATATATATAAAACTTTAAAAGCTGGTTCTTTTTTTCTTTGTTAAGATTTATTTATTTATGTATACAGAAATGGGGGTACAACCAGAGGTGCAGGGGTGAAGAGAGGAGTCAACAGAAACAGAATGGGGAGCAGAACAAGCAGATCAACAAGGTACACTACTGAGGGGAGCAGTGGGCGAGACAGGCGAGGTCTGTTGCACCATGTGGATACCTCTGGGGCAGGGATCAAATTTTACTGAAGCAGCCATAGCTTGGCATGCCTTCCCAGTGCAGTGCTCCAACCCACTGCGCCACCAGGGAGGGCCCTGTGTCTGATATTTTTGTAATATTTCATAATTCTAAGTATATAGAGTTTTTACCTCATCAGATAAATTTATTTCTAGGTATTTTATTATTTTTGATGGTGTTATAGGTGGTATTGGATTTTATTTTAAGATTTTTTATACATATGAGAGCTAGGGTGCAAGCCACAGATAAGGGAGGATTAGAGATTCACCAGAGATAGAATGGGAAAACAGAACAGGACAGGCAGATGTACTGATATACACTGCTGAGGGGAGCAGTGGGTGAGACAATAGGTCTGCTGCATCATGTGGGTCAGCTTCCTGGCAGGGGATGGAACTTGTGCTGCAGAGGCTGAGGAAAGCTTCATAGTGTTGAGGCTTAACCTATTGCACTAACAGGACAGCCTGGGATTGCCTCTTAATTCTTATTTTTGGTACTCCACCATTAGAGACTAGAAAGGCAACTAATAATCTATTTATTGATTGTCTATCTTGCATTATTATTAAGTTCAATTATAAATTCTAGCAGATTTTGGTGGAGGCTTTAATTTAAAAAATAGCCCTCTTTTTTCAAGTGAATTAATAAAGACAGAAAACGATTAATAAACAAGTACTTTCAAGTTGGTTCCACAGAGAACATATTCACAAATTTTAGCCCTCCACACCTACAATAAGAACAAAAGGCAATGAGATGAATAGATTGGCTGTCCCTACTGATTTATGTACCAGTGGAGCAAATTAAGCTCCTTTTATATGAGATAAGTATTCTTTAACCTTTAGTACAAGAAATGTTTTAATAGGCATTATTAGCCACCTCTTTCCCCACTGCTTTATGGTATTATATTACTGCTACTTCTGTCACACTATAATTAAGATCTTGTCAGACTTTCTATTCTAAACCAAGATAAACATCACTGAATATCTTGACTTTCAAAACTTCATGGGCCTGAAATTTTCCATCTAAGGCGACAGACATGGTTAAGTTTAAGTGTTATGGTGAGTGGGGGAGGACACAGGGCTGCTATTTTGTGTTGCTTTGTTTTTATGTTATTTTAGTAAGCTCTATTTTGTTTTATGCAGAGTAATAAAATGTTAAAAACTGAATTGATCTATACTTTATGTATGATTCTACCAGCTGTGTTCACATAAATTGAGGTAATACTTCTTGTTTTGTTGTTAGAACTATAAAGCCATCAAATTGTAGTAGATTACTTAGTATATATATTTTACACATGGTTTTTGGTCTTGCCGATCCAGATTTGGTCAGATTTGTGCCTGGATGGGCACATGTCATAGAATATGAAATTGAATAAGCAGATAACTGTCACCTATTCATCAGGCCCTGGGTTTGAAGTCCAGTGCAAAAATCTAACCTTGCCTCTTTGGCATTAGAACTCACCTAGAAATGTATGTAATCCTCAAAATTGCCTAATTTCTCAAAAGCTGTAGGTTTCCATATATTAGTTATTTAAAATAACTCTTCAGTGAACATGAGAGTGCAAATATTTCATTGACACCCTACTTTCAGTTCCTTTAGGTTTATACTCAGAAATCACATGGCTAGATGATATTATTTAAAAAAAATTTGAGGACAGGTCTTGTTATTTTCCATATTGGCTCCATCATCTTTCTCTCCACCAAAAATGTATAAGTGTTTAAAGTTCTCTACATGTTTCCCAACACTTACCTTGTTTGTTTTTGATAATTTAATCCTACCAGTATGAAGCAATAGCTCAGTGTGATTGGATATGATTTGATTTGATTTCCCTGATGATTATATCTGACTTTAAAACTTATGCTTTGCGTATGCCTCCCCTAATTCCCCATTGTCACACTTCCCTAAAATAGTTATTATCATCAAGCATCTTATTCTGTGCTTTATCATATTAATAGGATCGCACAAAGCAACATGACCCTGAAGAGGGACCACACATTGACTTCTGATGGACAAAGTGCTCCCTCCTGTTACCTTCACTTGTAGCTATTATTACTTCCTTGGATTTAGTCCTTAATGTGTGTCTCTAATAATAGATATAAAACAAAAGAAAGCCACAATTTGAATAATCATTTGTATTATCAGACTGACAAAGAACATGCTGAGCACTCTGCCTCCCTCTAGTGGCTAAATAAAGTCAATTACATGTATGGTCGTCTCAAACTTTTTATTTATTTATTTTCAATGCTCTATCAAATATGTTGTATTTTGCTAAAGGTCACATATCCAGTAAATTCAGTGATGATGCAAAGCATTCACATACTTAAAAACACAGTATTTCTTGTACACAAAATTTATATTCACAAACTTTTTTGCTTTAAGACAAAGCGTCCATAATTGCAATGGGAATTTAGTTGTTCCATGTATCTACTAATCTATTGTTACCAGCAAAATCTAAGCAATTGTATAACAAAAATAGGATTATATTTAGCATATATACATTAATAATGTACACAATTTAACATTACACCAGAAAAAGATATTTAACACAAAATTTTCCTTTATTTACTTGGGGGTGGGGTGGGGGAGGAGAGGTTGGTTTTCAAATTTCATAGCCTAGATTTTTGAAAATACTATGAAATATGTTAAGTATATTCAGTAAAATGGTAAAAATGAATGGATATTTTTCATACTGAGACTGGTCCTATTCTATCAAAAATGACAAATATTCACAATCACTAAGCTGGCTTCAGTTACAGTGGTGCTGGAGAACCTAGCAAAACCCTTTATTAGTGAGTGAAGCAGAAGAATGAAGTTGTACTTGCTAAGTCACCACCCTGCACCTTAGCATGCAAAAATCCATGACCTGGGAGTGTGCTTTCATCTCAGTGTCTATAAAGTGAATTAATATGCCCTCTTTTATTGGTATGTTGAAGAACATACTGTAGTAGTCTTTTATGTGCCTTTGTTGTTCTCTCGTATCTGTAATTTCAGATTCTGATTTAATTTCTGATCCTTTTTTTTATTTTTTTTATTTTTTATTTTATTTTATTTTTTTTTAAAGATTTACTTATTTGTGCATACAGAACTGGGGTACAGGCCAGAGGCTCAGGGGCGGCGAGAGGCTTCACCAGTGACAGAGTGAGGAGCAGAACAGGCAGATCGACGAAGTACACTGCTGAGGGGAGCAGTGGGCGGGTCAGGAGAGGTCTGCCACGCCATATGGTCACCTCCAGGGCAGGCGGGCAGGCGGGAATCGAACTCATGGGGAAGCGGCTTTAGATTCTCAGTGCTGTGCTTTAACCCGCTGCACCACTAGGGAGGGCCTCTGGTCCTTTTTATCTGGGGTTTCTTGTTTTCCTTAATGAGCCTAGCTGAGAGTTTATCAATTTGTTTACCCATTCATAGAACCAGCTGTTAGTTTATTTGATCTGTATTGTGATTTTTGTTTCCATTTGGTTTTCTTCTGCCCTAATTTTTCTAATTTCCCACTTATTTTGCCTTCTTTTGTTTTTTTCTTTTCTGATTCGTTAAAGTATAGCATTAGAGTGTTTATTTAAGATCTTTCTTGTTTACTGATGTTGGCTTGTGTTGCTGTGTCCTTCTCTCTTGACAGTGCTTTTAAAGAAACTCGGGATCTGGGATGTATCTCAACAATTTGTTTAGATTCCAAGTAATTTTTTATTTTGATTTTTTTGGTTGACTCTAACTTTATACCAAATTGATTGGAAAAGTTGTGCAGTATAGTTTCAATTTTGATCAATTCTTGAGAATGTTCCATGTACATTTGAAAAAGTAGGTATTCATTTCTTTTGGAATGAAAGGCTCTGTAAATGTTTATTAAAACTATTTGATCCCTGGTGGCACAACGGGTTAAAGCACCACATTATAAAGCTCTCCGAAACCACTGCAGCATGAGTTCAATCCCTTGCCAGGGGGCTGACCCACATGGCGCGGCAGACCTCTCCTGACCCACCCACTGCTCCCCTCAGCAGTGTACCTGTTCTGCCTGTCCTGCTCCCCACTCTGTCTCTGCTGAATCTTCTCACCCACCACTCCTCTGTCCTGTACCTCAGTTCTGTATGCATAAATAAATAAACCTTTAAAAAAAATTTGATCCTCTATTCCATGTAAAGTCATTATTTTCTCCTTTACATTTTGTTAAATCTCCCCATTAATGTCAGTAGCATGTTGAAATCCCCTATTATCGTGTTGCTGGCAATGTGATGCTTTAGGTCTGCTAATCGTTGTTTTATGTATTTGGGTGTGTTTGTGGTAGGTGCATAAATATTGATGAAAATTATATCTTTCTCATGAATTAGTTTCTTGATCATTATTTAGTACATGCCTTTGTACCTGATGACTTCCTTGACTGAACATCTAATTTGTCTGATATCAGAACAGCACTCGAAATCCTTGCTCCAGTCTTTCCCTTTAATTCTATTTTTGTATTTAGCTCTGAAGTGAGATTCCTATATGCATAATATAGATGAATCATTCAGTTTCATTCACACGATGTTATTTTTTGTCTTATAGTTGGTGCACTTCAGAATTTGCATTTGTGTTGATTATCAATGTATAAGGCTTATTTATTGACATCTGTCTTTTGTTTTCTTTTTCCTTATTTCCTATTTCCATGTGTTTCCATTTTTGTTGTTGCTGTTGTTGTTGTTTTGTTTTTCCAATTTGGATATCTTTCCTTAGTGATTTTCTCAGTTTCTTTATTTCTTCTGAGTGGTTTTATTCTAGTTTGTGTGTGTGTGTGTGTGTGTGTGTGTGTGTGTGTGTGTGTGTTTTGTGGTATCATGCAGGTTGTTTCAAACTTCCTGTATCTAAAACATTACTGGTGTTGACTCGCTGTCATTTGGTTATATAGATTCTGCCCTCTCCCTTTAATGCTTTGTTGCTGTCTTTTATTATTCTGGCTTGTACTTCTGATTCTGTTCTTCCTCAAGTTTATCTGTTCCTTTTTTTTTCTTTCTTTCTTTTCTGTTGATAGTAAGCTCAGGTTTTTCCATCATACTTACATGATAATTTTGCAAAATAGAGTGTTCTTGAATGGCATTACTTTTTGTCTTTTAGAATTTTATATATGTCACTCCACTGTCTTCTAGCCTTGTGAGTATCTGCTAAGAAATCTGAAGAAACGGATTGAGGTGCATTTGCATGTTATATCCATCCTTTTATTTTCTACAGTTTTTTATCTCCTTTAATATTTTATCTTTCTCTTTTGATAATTGAACAATGATGTGTCTTGGTGAAGGTCATTTTGCATTTAGACATTTCAATTTTCTACTAGCTTACCATACATCTATATTAAAACGTCCACCTTTTGTTAGGCATAAGGAGTTCTCAGCTACTATTCTTTGACTATGGTCTCTGCTCTCTCGTCTTTTTGCAACTTCTGAATTACCCATTTTTCCTAGGTTTCATCTTTTATTGGAGTCTGATATTTAATATTTCTAATTTTTTTCCAAAATCTTATTATTCACTATCCTTCCATGGGTTATTTGTATATTTCTATCTTCAACTTTCAAGTATATAAATTTTTAAAACAGCAAATCTTGCTGTAAACACCACATTAACCTTCTGTTAACACTTACATTCCCAGACATACTCTCAATACCCTTTATGTTATTTTTAACTTCTGCAAAGCAAATTTATTTAATGGCAGTTTACTCAAAGTATACTAAGTACTTTGAACTCTTAGGCCAGGACTTTTGAGAAATTGTTATTGATTTCTGTAACAACATCATACATAATGTATAGTTAGAACTTTAAAAGACAGTGAGCATAAAGCTGAAGAGACAAGTGTGCTCTATTCCAACCAATAATACAATATATAGAAGGAAATAAAACTTATGTCTTGTCATTGTGACGGTGTGTGTCAAGACACAACAAAAAATTTCAACTCTTAATTTCCAGTGACCATAATGCACCGATTGGCTGTAGTGGGAGTTGTAAAGTTGTATGAATGATTATAGTGTTCATGTTGGTGATTTTAAGACAGCAAGATTCATGGTACATAGATTTGAGAAATTAGCATAGTCAGATATGTTTACAGTTCAGCCACTTCAGAATCTGTGAGCTTGATTAAAATTCCTTTGGGTGTTCTTCACAAAATTATCCTCAATGCTCTGAAATCATATGTTTAAGAAATCGATGCAAACAGAAACTTTATATCATAAAACTGAAAAAATTCAGATGGGAGTCAGTCCTCCAGTCTCCTTCTCCTGTCTCCTGTCTCCATTTCTTTTTTTCCTCTTTGCTTTGCTACTTCCCACAGAATTGACCAAGTGGTCTAAACACCTCCCTAGAATGGTACTTCTTCATAATTTCTTTTTCTTCTTTGATTTCTCAAGTCAAGAAATTTGCAAGGCCACTGAGGTCTTCATGTGCCCTCTCTGTGACAAGAACTGCTCCCTGCAGAGACTCAATGACAGCTGTATCTATGCCAAGGTGAGTGAATACCCTCACTTCTCCTCCCTTTGCTTTACTTTTTCTAGAAAGCAGTTAGTAAAAAGTCCACTGGAAAAATTACTTTTTTTGCAGAGAGCCTGTTACATTTCTTTGGAAATTTTCTATAGATTTCATAGGAAGTTTTTAATAGGCCAAATGCCTCTTTCCTATCAAAAGGAGGGCCTCTCCCCATCTTTATTCTCTTGAAAATCACCCTTGATTAACTGTACTTGACTCTTCTTTCTCTCCACACTCCATTTTTCGTAGAGCAGTTCTTACATCAGAACTCTAAGTAAAATCTTAACATCGTAAGCTCTAACCACAGATCTCTACTTCTTGTCTCCCTGGCATTTCCCATATCACAATACTACCCATGTCATCAACTTTGTAAGTCTAGCACAATGATGTTATACTTTTGCCTCCTCTTAATAGAGCAAGTCTGGAGGCTTCCCCAGGTATAAATTTAGCTTTATCTCCCATTACATGTATGTAATGAACATAGATGTATACTTCACTGTGTCTTACAGATGTGGTTTCTAAAAAATGAATGTTTATATTATTGAGTAAAATGCCCAAAAGATTTGCAAGCAAGCTTAGCAATAACAATAAAATAAAAACAGTTTAATAGAAATAGTTCATAAACTATGGCAAATCATGTCTATTCAACACGACTGTTGTTAAGCATGACTTTGTATTTACCACTTTTCTAAAACATGGCTATTTCTGGAACAAAGAGAGCCATTATTTCTTGTTGACCTTTAAGCCTCCGTGTGTAAAGTCTGCTCTGACTGTCTAAGAGGTTGTGTCCTGCAGTAGATCTGTTTAAAAGGAAAATAGAGCTATTCAGCTGCTTGACAGCATCAGGTATCTCTGTGGGATGTTTTTGGAAAGGAAAAGCTGAATTCCCCACTGGGCATAATTTTATAAGCTCTGTAGGAGAATTTCTTTATGGTCCTATTTTTCTTGTACATAATGTATGCTAATGCCTGTTGTGAAAACAAATCCTTACAACATTTTTAGAAATCCCATGGCTTAGCAATCATAAATGTTTCAAGCCATCTCATAAGTCCCATACTTACCTGCAAACCTTTCAAAGGAGTACGTCTGTTGTGTAATGATGTACTGAATTATAGCACCATTGAAATGTGCGGTAAAATATATTCCACCTTAGCTACATATTATTGTTCAGTGTGTGCCAGATGTAACAGTTTTTAGCTCCTAATGGCTCCTCTGCCCTGAAAGGTTAGTGGCCCCTTTTCCCTATAGTTTCTGTGGTATTTATGTGACTGGCAAACACCTGTTGTCTTGGCTGTACTGATTTAATCTCCCTCACTGACACAGAGAGGACTTCATGTAAATGAAAAGAAGCAGCGGTAAGCTGAATGTGTACTTTATTAAAATCAAACAATCCTTACAAGTTTGAACATGTATCCTGTAACAACATATAATTGTACATTGCACCTTATGAAACTTCAGACTCTATCTGATTCAAAAACACTGGATTATCCTACATGTCCAGTGACTTATGAAACCTCTTAAAAGCAATTTAAGATAGGATCCTTTATTTCTTATAACCACTACTGAACAAACTGATGGCACATTCTGAAATAGAGTGAAGAAAGCACTGTGGTACTTACGCAGTGCAAGTACTGACTCACTGGTAGATTCTTACATTTCTCAACATCCCTAACCTTGAGAGTTTTGCTGACCAAAAGTGCAGTTAGGTGTATTAGCTGTCTCAGCTGCTCAGCTATCTGAAGTTATCTCACACTTGTAGCTTCACCTTCTATAGCATCAAGATAGACTTCCAAAATTCAGAATCCATTCTTAGAGGTTGAAGCCTAGAAATCTGCATATTAACAAATTATTTAGGTGAATCTGTTTCCTAGGGCCACATTGTAAGGAAGATTTTGCCCTAAGTAAGTAATTGCTGAACTCTTCTAAGCAGAAATGAAGGTAAAGTCCTAATGGAACCAGAAGGGAAGAGAAAGCAGAGGTAAAGTGTTCCCTCATTTCTTCCCAGGTTCAAATCATATGAAACAGTTGCAAGATCCATGGAAGGATTTCATTTCTCATGTTTACAAATTACAAAGTAATACAAGTTCCTTGGGGGAGATATCACAGTACCAAAATGCAAACCCTGATCATTGTATTGTTTTAACCAAGAGTGTGACAGATATTTCTGTTGTTTTCTGTTAAGGTGACATATCTTTTTGACAATGGAGGGACAGTCTTCTTTGCTATTTTTATGGCAATATGGGGTAAGTATAATCTTTCGTGACTTACTTTCTAAGTTTTTTAGTTGATTGCCATGTACACACACACACACCATGTGTCAATTCAACAGTGAAGTCTCTGATTCAGTACTTCCTTGGTTGACCCTCTTGACACTACTGCTTCCTTGGGAATTTAACTCTTGCTCTAATCCAGTAATCTCTAAAGTTTAGATTTTCCTATATTACTACGGATTTTGTTGTTGTTCATCAAAAGCAGGTGATACGAACAACTAAAACATTCTAGAGTCCAAAGTAAGCTTCTTGTACTTCTGCTGGTGGAAATGAAACTCAGAAAATGTTTTGTTTGTTTAATATAGCCATTCACTATATATTGAGAGGAACAGAATCTTTCCATATATGATTAAGAGATGATATATCTAATACATAACAAAATCCTATTTCTGTATCACTTCTTGGAACTATAAAAATAATTTAACATCTGAAAACTGTAATTATTATGTAAAAACTACCTTTTTTAAACAACCAATTGATTTTTTAAAGGATTCAATTAATTGATGCCTAAAGTAAGTCACACAAGTTGGAATTTCTCTTTGTAAAGAAGTGTTGACTGTAGTCTTTGTCAGCTGGAGAGTTGAAAGAACTGACCGTGTATGTGCTGAAAAATAACAGGTCACCCTGTTCAATTAAATTCAGAAGCTCTGTTATGCATTCTTTCTAGCTTTAAGTTAAAAGTCAAAACTTAAATTAACTCAGTTTTCATTGGAGAGAACGTCAATCTTGATTCATGATGAGGCAGTGAAATGTCAGTGAAAAATCTTTTGTCTCCCCCCCAAAAGATGAAAATGGTAGTTTTGGTTCTTTATTTCATTGAAGGAGTTTCTTTATCCTTCAGGAAAAAAAAAATCCAGTAAGAAAAAAATAAACCAAAATATAAATTAGGTTAATGAAGATGTCAACACAGTCCAAAGTGTTGAAAGAAGGAAAACCTTTGGACAACTCATCTTCTCTTCGTGTTTCCACCACTTGCCTCATGCTTTCACGGTTCTCGTTGGCACAAGCCACACACAGTGCTCTTACATGAGCTTTTGGAAGATGGGCCCATGAAAGGGCCAGGTGGGTGCACACTTTCTGTCTGAAGTCTTTTCCTCTTAATTTTATACTGAGGTACGAAGTGGAGGGATGTCATCCATGGGGATGCCATCACGTGCGTTTTCTTGTCCTGCTGGCATGGATGGATCATTCACAGCTGGATTGTAGTAGCTGGAATTCCCAAAACTCACATCATAAGGTTCTGGTGCATTGTCTAATCGCAAGACTAAAACAATAACCAAAAAACAAAACAAGACAAAACACTGTGTTATAGTGATAATCTGGAAAATGCAAGCATGGACGTCTGCTAGACATAAGGAACTGTTCTATATAGATGAGGAAAAGGTATTTCATTGAGGTATTCTTTTGGGGTACTAGTTTTGAAATTGGAAATGAGTTACCTTACAAAACACATCTTTCTGAGACTAAGAGAGCAGTTTTACTTCTAAAATCTCTGCAGGTAGGGCAAAAATAAAGGAATAAGGGAAACATCATAACAAAATCATAGCCAGTACTTTACATAGAGAATCATAGACTTATGACTAATTGAATATTTAATCTTGTGAATTCAGCCCTGTATTCCAGAATTTTTACTATTAGGGTAAAAGTATTAAACATTCACTTTAAAATATGTGTTATTATTTTACTAAGCATCTCAGTATCTTTATGGTTGAGCTCTTGAAGGTGAAGATGGCAAAAAGCTAAACTTATCAGTTTGTTTCTTTCTGATATATCTGTGTTAACATTGAAACCTTTGACATTTTCCACATTTTTGTTATTTTTCAACAAAACAATGAAGTTGTTGATTTTTTGACAAACAAAACATTACTTCCTTAGTTATCTGGACTCTATTTTCAAAATTATTATGACCAAACCTGGTGTTTTTATTCTTATCAGATTCTTTTCTCATTCTTAGATGTTTTAGCTACCACCACATGAGTGGAAATTCCTGAATCAAGGTATATTGTGACAGTATGTCTCAGATATACAACTCTGCAGAGATTCTACTTTAGACATTATAATTTTATAGAGGTTTACTGTATTTTTGAAAGTATAGAAGAATTCCAAATTAATCATCATTCAAATTACTGATATAACGAGATCAAACATGCCAAAGGGTGGCTTTGCTGGCAATTTTTTTAAACATCTGTGCCACTGTCTTCCAATTTTACTGTTATGCATTCAATATAATGGTTATATTCTGATTTTATACTTATGTTTACATTAATCTTTGGTAATAGTATGAGATTATTATTTAAAATAAATTATGACACAATGAGCAAGTTGCAAATCATTTTTAATTTTTACTCACAGGCCCACAATTATTTTTGCTTATTTGAAAACAATATTGTAGATCAGAATATATCTTGGTTCGTTTCTGTCACAAGAATCTCTCAAACTCTTCTAGATAGTTTAGTGAACATTAACATCCTCACATAATTAAAATAACTGCAGATTAATTTCTGGAAGTTGTTTTACCTGGCTCATTTCTGTCATCATAAAGTCGTCGGTGAGAAAATGAATCTGTTTTCCTCTTCCCACACAACAGGTAGCCAACAAGACTGAGCAATGATGCACCCAGTATAGCACCTAAAATGGCCCCAAATACTACTCCTGTATTTCTGTTCTCTGGGGAATAAGAAAAAAAATACAGCCATGAAATAAAGTAATTGCTCAAAGAACAGAAATATATCTGTATACAAACACACACATATCCATATTTTCTGAACACAAAGGAATATCTAACAGTGTTTGCATAAATATTAGATAATGGTGGTTCTGTGGCTGTGTGTGTGTATTTATAAATTATGTAGTATTTGGGATACACACACACACAAACACACATATGATTTGATGTTTATGTCATTATTATAATCAGGGTAAGTTGTGTTAAAAATCATTGAATTTATCAGTTATTTTCTTAATTTTGCAAAAATAAAAATATGGTTAGACCTGAAAAAAACAAGAGTGAATTTTCATTAAATATTCAGGGTTCTTTCTATGTTGTTTTAAACTTTAAAAGAATCCCTAAATGAAAGACAAAATTTTTAATATAATACAGTTGTTTCTGTACAGCTAAATTCTATTTTTATGGTGTTACTGATGTAGGGACCTATAAGTTGAGAAGGATTTCTTTTTGTTGAGTTTGTTTTCACTTTTTAAATAACAGACTTCTCTGTCCCTGTGATTGCTGTGGTATCAGAGAATTTATAAATTCACTAAATGCATTCCATTTTCAAAACCCACATACACAATTTTTTTAATTTTTAGATGGGGTAATATTCCTAAATGCAATCCCAGATAGTTATCTAAGAGAGAACCACCTGCGGTATCATAGACCTCCTTCTTGTCTAATAAGTTACATTCCTTACAATATACATGCCTAACTTGGAGATTCAGTTTTACACAAAACAGCAAAGTTAAATTCATTTATGTTTACCTTCTTGGGGGTCTGGTGTATTTGGAAAATTTGAATTATTAGTCAATTCCGAGGTGGGCCGTAGAGTTGTGGTTTCTGGATAGGGGGTGAACCCCATCGTGCTGTCAGCAGTTGAGGTAAGCCATCCATCTGGCCGCATTGTCAAGGGGGTCCTGGACATAGTATTTGATGTGGGAGGGGAGGTACTGACTGAAATGGTACTGTTGTCAGCTTCCATGGTTTCATTGACCACAGAAGTGGAATTTTCTGAAGATACAGCAGATGTAACATTCAGAGGTGTTGAGACTGGCCAAAGATTTTCATCTGCTACAGATGAGTTCGCAACAGATTTATAAGAAGCGTCATTAGTCAAAGGAGGGCTTGTAGAAAACGTAGATGTGGGTCTCCAAGTCCCAAGAGAGTCTGCTGAAACGTCTTTTAAAATCTCTGTTATTTCAGGGATTTCGCTTGAAGGATCTAAAACAGAGGTTTTATTTGCTTTGGGGTCTTCATTTACATGTGCCAGAGGAACAGATTCTTTTTTTGTTATGAAACCTTCTGTAATGTTTTGTGCTGTGTTTCTTTCTAGATCACCTTTCCCATGGCTTCCAAATAGTAGTGAACTAAGCAAAATTGAAATGAACAGAGTTTTGACTGAGGTCCACATAGTGGCCTTCTTTGGTATAGGTGGTATCAAAGGGAATCTGAAAAAAAAAAAAAAAAACCCAGTCATTTAGTCATTTGAATTATTAAATGAAATATAAAGTATTTTTAAATATACATATATATCACTTTTTTTAAGTGATAAAAATCTAGAAACATAGTGATAAGGTAGTAACATCATATTCTGAATTCCAAAAGTATGTTTTATTTTGAATTATATATTAAAACCAGAATCTCTGATTTCTACTTTCTATTTAATATTCCTATCTTCCTTTCACAGAGGGAATGCCATGCAAAAACTTTGTCAAGCCAGATACCCACCACCCTACTATTTCAAAAATCATTTATTTTGGGACAAGTTGAAATAAATATATATACTATATTTCTTTAATATATATTCATATTTAGCATATTGTATTTGTATATCATATATAACTAATATTTATGTATGTAAATATAGATTACTAAATTTTTTTTTAAATATTGTACGGATAAGGCAGGTAGAAGGGACTGATTTTTTTTCAGCCTATTTTAAAAAGCATGTTTTATATCAAGATGTAATTTGGAATGTTTATTATGGATTAATGTTACTAATTGTACACTAAATGTTCAACTATAAAGTGTGTCAGTTAAAAAACATTTCACTTCTAGCTAAAGATTTATAAGAATTTAAAATTGAGCGTCCTTTTTTCACAATACTTTTTACTTGGTGATATTCCTCTATTCGCCCAAAATTAGGGAAAATCAGGAAGAACTTGAAGCTTTAGGATATTCGTTATTAGTATTTTCTTACTGTGTAAATTAAGAATATGTTGGGGAAATGTGTGAAAAAAAGATTATATAGTTAGATAGAGGCATACTTCTCTGTGCTTAAGGGTGAATACGCCCAGTTCATAGAGAGGTTATGGGGAAGATATGAGAGAAATTTATATTAAAATTCTAGCTTTGACACAAATAAGCTGTGAAATATTATAATAAGCAGTTGTTCTAACACTATTATAACAATCATACTGATTTCAATGTTGTTCAGGAAACTAAATGAGTTTGAAGAAACAAGTACTCTAAACAGTATCTGACCTAATATAAGCCATTAGCCGACATAGATTCCCATTTCTTATTTTCATAGCAAACTGTAAGTTGATTGTAGTTTGCAAAGTTTATATATCATTTATATATAAAAAAAAGTTTATATATCATTGCTTTTCACAGTGACCCCTTGAGACAAAAAAGAATCTTGAATTATTCCCATTTTGCAGATGAAGAAACTGAGGTTCAGAATGGCTAATATTAGAAGCTAGTAAGTAGGGGAGGTAGCAATGAAAACAAGCTTACTGACTGCAACATAATAAGGTATAAAATCTAAAGTGTTTTAATTAAAAAAAATTTAAATAATTTTTAAAGTTGTTAGACTTTTCTTTGAAATCTGAAAGCTGATTTTATATTCTTTAAATTGGACTTTTTGGCATATCCTTCACTATAAACTACCAGGATAACTAAGATACTAAAAGGGAGTTGCAACTTCTATTATTTAGATTCAGTATTGCTTGCTATTTCTCTTAGTTCTCCCAGAAATTTTTACCAATATTTTGATACTTGCTGATTTTTTATAATGTTGGAGTAGCCGTATAATAGCCCCTTTGATTATCTTTTCGTTTTCAGTCCCCTTGTCCCTTTGCTTAATGATTTCTTACATAGTGGTACAACTTATATGTGCATCCTGATATAATACTTGACAGTTGTATGTGAAAATTAACAAACTAGAGTTAAACATAACATGGGTGGTTACCACAAACAATGCAGAGCTTGAAATGCTAGTTAATACTGTGTGATTCATTTATATAAAGTTCAAAACAGACTTGGGAAAGGAAGAAAGCATTATTGCTCTGTGGGCATGTATGGGACTTCTGTGTGCTGCTGATACTCTGTTTCGTGACCCATTAGGGATTACATAGGTGTTAAAATAGCTCTATTTACATTTTGCACACTTTTCTATGGTAACCAAAAAAAATTGATTTAGACCCTAAAAATTGTTAGCATGACAGGAAAAAAGATTACTAGTATACATATAGAGTTTTGCATTTTTTTTTCATTTAATTCTTATCAAAATCAACCAAAAATGTGGAGGGGAATATTCATCCTGCTTTACAGATGATAAAGTGCAGCACAAATAATGTGTAGATGTGCCAGCAGAGGGGGTTAGGGCTCAAGCCGTGATGTTCAAGCTGTGTGATAACAGTTACAGAAGAATATAAAATTTGGTACTTAGCTGCTTTTTGGAAGTTTTCACCACCACCAATATATATTTTGAGCACAGCTTCTCTAGATTTCATTATTTTAGTCAGAACAGTTTATAATCCCAATTTTTTTAAAACACTGGAAAATGGGCCTTCAACCTTAACTGCCTCTCTAACATATTAGTTATTCCCAACAATTGTCTTATGTTTGCTAGGTGGACATTTTTACAGATTCACAAAGCATACATAATTAACCCAGAACTTATAGTTCATCAGCATCCACATCTTGTTAAGCAGATGCCTCATTTAGCACATTTATAATATGTTTCAATTTAGTTGTACATGCTTACATGTCCTTTTCAGAAACATTTTTTCCCATGAATCCCGTCAAATTCATAGAAAACCTTACATTCTTTTTCCTCACCTGCCAGCAGTGATCTTATTAATCTCTGAATTGTACTTGGCCATCCATTTTATCATTATTGTACAGTTTGATTTGCTTTTCCTAAACCTAGGCCTTCTGGTTTTCTCCTCCTAGAAAAGTAGTCACCAGAAAGGGAAAAACATCCATTAGCTATTCTTCCAACTTTCTCATAATGTTCCATGAGGAAGGTGGCATTGAACTTTCACTCCATTCCCACAGTGAGAATCCACATATCGAGAACTAACAAAGTGAGTTTTGTTGTTCTTGTTTCATTTTGCCTGTAACATTGAACCACCAGAGGGATCTTTCTAGCCTTTGCCCAGCTTTTGATTGTAATTTGAAAACCTAAGATTTCAACAGTCATTGAGCCAAGCATTCTGTTACTGCCTATAATTTATCTCCACTGAAAAAGAGCAAGGGAAGAGAAAGAATAATCTGGTATGTTGTAAAGACTATTTGCAATTTATTAGGAAATTCATAGCATTACAGGTTAAGATTATTTGAATGTTGATTAATTCCTAGTGTCTGGCACAGCAGTGTGAGGTAACTCTGTTTCTAGGCCCTGGCTTCTAGAAGAACCCAGTTATAACTGATTTGAGTCCCTTCCTCTTAAAGAAACAGAAATGATAGAAACTGAAGGCAACAACTATTCAGAACCACAGCCCTGGATATTTGATGGAGTAAAGACTAAGCAATTTTAAGTTCACTCCATTCTGAATTGAACTGAAGTGTGTTGTAAAAAGCAAAGACTTAATAAAGATGGTGAAGAAAATCCAGAGAATAAATGAAATCTGCATTCTTTCTCTTTGAACTTTCTGCTCAGTTTCTCTCCACTTCAGATATTTAAACTATGTTATATACTTGTTATATAAAGCTAAAGTTTTGCTGAATGATGGATGGCATTCTTAAGTGTGCCTAAGGTCATCTGTCAACCAGGTATACTGTGGAGGCAGACAGAAGGTGGGATGAAAGAAAAGTGAAATTTCAGAGAAAGGGAAATTCAGGGAACCAGGTAGCATAATTTCTCCTCATGTTCTTTTCACTTTTTTCCCCCTACATGGAAATCCCCATTCCCTAAAAAGGAATTTTGAGTGTATAACTTGTGAACAGAGCTAAGATCATTACAAACTTAAAAAACTTCTAAGTTATAATTATTATAAAGGGGATTTAAAAAAAAAGACAGGAGCATGTCTATCTACTAGCAGATACCTTGAACACAAATTTCAAAATTTTCTGCATGTATTGAAATATTTTTATTCTAGTATTCATCAGGTTTTTTGTTTGTTTGTTTTACAACATACTTGCAGAGCATGTATTTCACTGCTTTTAAAATAATTCCTCTACACAAAGAAAATTTTCTGCTATCTTTGGTGCTGGCACTAAAAAGTGGTTTCACATTACTGCTCTTGTAGAAGCCTTTTGGAGCTGGTGAAAAGAAAAGGTAACCAAAACAAAACAGAGGCCCTGGAGAGAAGCAAATCCACACTTTGAGCATAAATTTTACCTCCCTTTAAATGCATAAAGTCATCATTCTGCCATTTTCCTGTTGTTACTGAATCAAAACAAAACTTAGCCAAGATTTGACAAAAAGGAGGTACCCTGGTTAGGTCAGGTAATCAACCCATACAAGGGAAGAGAAATGCTGGCCATTCTAACAATCAGAAGCATGCGTTTGAAATAAAATTAGTTCAGCCACACTGACAGGAGAATAAACATAAGTTTTATAGCCAAGTGACTAAAGAGTCATACACTGCGCTAGCACTGCTCCTCAGTTGTTTTCCGTCATTCCTTGTTTTTGTTTCCAGGCTACACATGAAGACAGGTTTTGTTTGTTTTAGTCACAGGAAACTCAGACTGTCATGCAGCCAACACCACAGCAGACCTAGTGTGTTGCTGCGAACGCCACCGCCAGTCAGGAACAGCATTTTGTTTTTCTTAATGAAAGAGCCCCATAAATAAAGACATTACAAATTATGCTGGGAGAAATGCCTCTTTCATAAGAGGGTTTTGAAAGAATGAAAAGACTTAACTAAACAAAAAGTGGAATTGACCCTGAGGCTCTTAGGTATATCCTTTCACTTTGATTTAAAAAGAGAAAGAAAACAAAACTATGACTTTCCACTCAGCAAAAAAAAAAAAAAAGTTCAAAAATGTCTGGACATCATTCTAATTATAAAACATAGATGTTCATGAATCCAAGAAAATTTGTAGAGTGTCATACCTTCTGCTAATTTGGACATTCTGAGTTCTAAGCTTCACTATTTGAAAATGTCAGTGTCAAGTTTAAGAAGAAAGGCTATGTCTCCAAAAGAAACATTCTGGATGCAACTTCCAGGCATGGAGTTTTCAGTTATCTATCATATTTCACTGTCTGT